ACTGAGATAGAACAAAATAGAAGAGGAGCAGGTTGTGTGTATGTGTGTGTGTGTGCATGTGTGTATGTGTATGTGTTTAAATAGGGATGGGAGGATAAGCAGGGGCCTCATGTTCTGTTGACATGTTGCCTTTCAGGTGCTTTTGAAATATCAAACTGGATATTTTGGCTGACAGTTGAATAGATAGACCTGGAATTTAGAGTAAAGATATTTACTAGAAATGTATATTTGATAATCATCAGCATGTAGATGGTACTTTAAGCCAAGAGTATGGATATGATTGTTCCAGGAGAGGAGAGAGCCTGGATCCAAGACTGACTGAAATATATTGAGAGAATGGGAAGCACTGAGTACAGACAGTTATTTGGGAGAGTGTAAATGTGAAAGGGAGGAGCTAAAGGTAGGAAGTTGGGATACAAGAGGTTTTTGTTTTTTTTTTGCTTGGTAAAGTACAGGATCAGTGAAAAAGAGGAAGACCCTCAACGAGATGGATTGACACAGTGGCTGCAACCATGGGCTCAAGCACAACAATGATTGTGAGGATGGTACAGAACCGGGCAGTGTTTTGATCTGTTGTACATAGGCTCACTATGAGTCGGAACTGACTTGATGGCACCTAACAACAACATCAACATGGGAGAAACTTCAACATGTGTAAATGTTTATGGGAAGGAGTCAGTAGAGAAGGAGGAGATTGACCATTCAAGAGAGAAAGAATCAGTATTAATAAGGCTCCATAGAAAGTGGTAAGGAGAATGGAGTGGGTCTTGAGTATAGGTAGGGTGACTGGCCTTAGGTAAGAGAAAAGCTTTTTGGACCTGGAGTGTAGGAGGAGAGGATAGGAGTGTTGGTACAAGAGAGTTTCAGATATGGTAGGGAGAAGTTAATAAGAGTTCTAATACTTAAATGGCTTCTTTCTGTTTTCTCTCTGAATTAGTAAGCAAGGTGGTCATCTATTGAGTGGAGAGGATGAAGTGGGGTATCAGTGATTTGAGAATAGTAGAGAAAGTTTGAAATAGCATTTACTGAGTGTTTTACTTTACTCTAACTTTTAGTTAAATATATGGTTTTCTAAACAAAAAAGAGACTATAGAGGAATCAGTTATCCTTGCAGAGCTCCTGAGTTTCATCTATTGTAACTATTCTTCGGAAATTCTGGTTAGTTGAAAATACTATATGAATTGATTTCATTGATTTTCATTTTTGAGTTGAGGTGCAATTAGGCTGAGATTTTCTTTATCCTAAGTATAAAAAAATACAGGTAGTCCGCAACTTATTACGTATTCGAGTTATGATGAATTGCACTTAATGACTGTCTTTTTTTTTGTACATCCTATTGTTAGTAATATGTACTACATGCAGTGTTGCAGCACGTAATTTGCTGATGTTATTCTCAGATGTTCACTTGCAGATGTTCAATGTTATGATTTATTGTTCAAAACACTGCTGTATAGCAGGCTATAAAACCAAAAAAAAAAAAAAAAAGGTATTCGACTTAAGTCAGAACTGACTTACAACGGAGTTGTCGGAGTGGAACCCTGTCATAAGTTGAGGACTACTTGTAGATGATTGTGAGTGAATTATTCAGAATTTCTTGTGTAATGTTTAGTTTGGAAAAGGAACAAATATTATGGAGCCTTTTGGCACCCTTGGAGGAAGAATTTGGAGACTTGGAGACTTACATCTCAAGTCTCTTAAGGTCTTAAGACTTAGAGACTTAGATCCCTAACAACAACCAAAAAAAAAAAACAAAACCTTTACTGTCGAGTTGATTGCAACTCATAGTGACCCTATAGGACAGAGTAGAACTGCCCCATAGGGTTTCCAAGAAGCGGCTGGTGGATTCGAACTGTTGACCTTTTGGTTAGCAGCTGAGCTCTTAACCACCGGACTACCAGAGCTCCCTAAGGGGCTCTGTAAAATAAGATAACGCAGTGTTTTTCAGACTGTAGATCACAAGTGTTGTGAAAGTTGGAAAGTACGTTATGACCTGTAGTTTTAAAGGAAAAATGTAGTGGATCACTTGTAGTAAGTATTGTTTTGGGTAACTTTTTCCCATGTGCGTGTGTGTGTAGAAGGGGAGAGAGAGAGGGGACACTGGGTCATAATATAGAATATATCTTTTTAATTTATGTGTCCTGTGAAAAAAGTTTGAAAGCCACTGAGATGTAAATTTATGTAGAACACCTAGACCAGGACTTAGCACAAAGGGACCCTCAAGTGAAAACTTGTTTTTTTTTCCCTTCCTTCTTTTATTAGGCAATTCTTTCTTGGCTGAGTTCACATATTGGTATACTACTAAAAACAACCAGACTTAAAGGAAAAAGAATCAGTAATTCAAAATGTCTTCTCAATCTACAAATTTATAAATTAAGATGACTCTACATGGTGTCCATATACAAAAACAGTAATAATTTAATGGGCTAACAAGGAGTAGGTTGTTGTTTTGAATATAACATTTTCCTGATTCTGTTTTATTTTAGAATTGGTTAATTTGAAGAGAAAGGGAATTCAGCATTGAGAATGAATTTAAACATTATTACCCATCTACTTTTATTTTACTCAGTAAGTTTATACCAGCTCTTTCCACAGTTACTTGTCTAACAAAGACTATGAAAATGAGAGAGCCTGAGGCATTGCCGGTTCTTATTGGAATGATTATGAGCTAATGATCCATTTTCGGGACCATATTTAATTTTATTTCTCCATCTTAAAAACGCATTGCTAATTTGTGTTTGTAGTTTGTAGATAGCACTTATATTTAGACAAAAACTTAATATTTTCTTATACTGTAAAATATGATCAGGTCTTGGTATTCCCAGCTAAAAGGTTTCTTGAGTCTTTTATACAGGGACCCAGCTAACAGGGACAGATGCATTTACCTGTGGATTGTAGCCTGTGAAGCCTTCCCAGTTTTGGTTGCTTTTCCACACAGTGTTGGATGTCTCAATTTGTGGAGAGTTAGCACCTGTAGGCAATTTGATTTCTGGGTGTTCAGGCTCTAGGGCTGTCCAAAATCTCTTCCTCTTACACTGTTTCTGATAGTATGGGGTCTTGCTGCTATTGATATTTGGCCCCACTTCCTCATATATTGGGGTTCCTGGGGATACCCAGTCATTTAATTGTGTTGTGTTGTTGGCTGTAGTTTGGTTTGGTTTGATTTATTTGCTCTTGTTTTATTCTCCTCGTTGCACTGTTTTTTGTTTGTTTTGTTTTTTGGAGGAGGGATCCAGTGATATTAAAAAATGATGTCTCTTTTATCGACAAGTTGTCCAAAACACTTCTGCCTTCTTAAAATGAGTATTCTAAACATGATAAAAGAAAACTTTTTAAACAATGGGTGAGACTTGTGCCTGATCATGGACTACGGAGAATGACTAGAGAGGAAGAAGTTGAAAATACAGGAGAGAAACTAAAAAACTATTGGAAGTATCTCCCTTGAGATGACCAGAAGGCTTGGATACAAAAGTGTGGGTAGAGGGATTAACTTAGAACAGAGGAAAAGGTCAGCTTTTCTGACAGGAAATGTTATGTTAGTTTAACATGATATGTTAGTTTGTAGGCCTGCTCTCAGGAAACTGGGAGTGTCACATTTGATATCCTCAATTTTCTTAGTAAACTTTAATATGAAGTTACCTGCTAGAAAAAGTAGATAAGTGTAGTGGGCTTGAGGAAAGTAGTAAAGATTTTGGAATGGTGATGGTGAAAAATGGAAGCAATATCTAACCAGAGACGTAGAACTAATTGCTGAACGATGCTAAGGGCTGACCTTAGACTATAAGTTTGAGAGCCTCCAATATTCTGATATTTTTCTTTTTTCAGTAGCAACTCAGATGCAAGGCCAGAGAAGGTGGTTGTTTGGATATGGTTGTTAGTGGTTTGTTAGGATTTTTCAGGGTAGGTATTAGAATATGATGAGGGAATCATGTTCCTAAGCATGATAAAAGAGAATTGATCAAGGGATGTGTTGTGGAATATAGACTGATAAGGAAGGAAATCACTCTGGGTTCTGATGGACTGAGAGAAAAGGGAGGATTCAAGGGTATCCAGGTTTTTGTGGTTCTGGAGCAGATATGAGGGAGTAAGAAAGTGAGAATTGGACTAATAGGAGAGATTGAAGCCAAATTAAAAAAAAAAAAAACCTGTTGCTGTCGAGTTGATTCCAACTCATAGCGACCCTGTAGGACAGAGTAATACTGCCCCATAAGGTTTCCAAGGACTGGCTGGTGGATTAGAATCGCTGACTTTTTGGTTAGTGACCGAACCACTGCATCACTAGTGCTCCATTGGAGTACAAGAAGGCCAGAAATGGCAGGAGTATGCTGGTGTGCTATGTATCCTGTTACAGATAAGGAAATCACCCATGGTGATAGCAAGAGTTGGATTGGAAGAGAAAGTGTGAATCAGATCGGTAGATAAAAAAGCAGATCAGTAGATAGCAACAAGAAGACAGAGTTCAGAGGGTTATTTGCATGAGTGTAGAAGACCAAGTTTGTTTTTTTTTTTTCCTTTTTTTAAAGTCTTTTATATTTGGTATTTATGGTCTTAATACCAGGGGTTGGGCAAACATTCTGTAAAGGGCTAGGTAGTAAATATTTCAGACTCTGCCACTCATATATGGTTTCTGTCCCGCATATTCATGTTTGCTTGTTTTTATAACCCTTTAAAAAATATAAAAAACATTCTTAGTGCACAGGCCATACAAAAACAATGACTGAGGGGCTGTAGTTTGCTGACCCATAGATTATACTCATTATGAATTATTTTTGACTGTACTTTTCTGTTACAAGTAATATTTTACCTTGTGAAATTTATATGTAGTTTTTCGGGCCATTCCTCATCTGTACTTGAGTAATGGTAGTTCTGTATTGCAAAGTATTGAGGAGGTAATATATATTTATTTTCTAAATACTGTCAGTAGTATTGATTTACACTTCTCAGTGTGATAATTATTTTTGAAAAGTCACAAAATGTTTACGTTTTTTTGTGGTGGGTTCAAGTTGAGTCAGCAGATACTGGAGTTATTTGAAGCATGCCAGCAGCAAGTAAGTGACTTAAAGAAGAAAGAACTCTGTCGGACACTGCTGCAAAGAGAAATTCAGCTGTTATTTCCACGTATGTTTCTTTATTATTTATGTTCTTCATGTTTATGTAGTCCCATTTTTAATTTTAAATATCCCTTTATAATTTTCGTCTGTTTCTCTAGAAAGCAGACTTTTTTTGGTTGGATCCTCTTTGAATGGATTTGGTACCCGGAGCAGTGATGGTGATTTATGCCTGGTTGTTAAAGAGGAACCAGTAAGTAATGAAACATTTATTCCAAGTGTGTTTCTCATGTTAAGTCATTTAAGAAATATATAAAAGTCATTGAGGAAAAGAACTGTTTATAGTAATTCAAGCAAAGCCAGGAAATGCTTTGGTTTAAGGCATATGTATAATGAGCATAACAACTCTAGCATTTTTTTAGTTCTTAGTTGTTAAGGTGAGATGGCTTCAGCATGTGTTTTTTTTAAAGAGTTTTGCCTTTGTGTTGAAATGTCACTGGGTTGCAGCAAAAAAAAAAAAAGCAAGGAAAACAGTATTATCTTCTTGATATATTTCCTGTCTATTCTCTGTGATTCTGTGTTTAATCTTTATTTTTTTCACTTGAAAATGCTTTGGGGTTTGTGTTTATTATTACGGGATACCAAAAGATAACTTTCACTGAAATTATAATAAGACTATTATAATTCATTACACTTAAAATATTCTGCTATTTTGTTGATATTTTGGCATTGTTTCTTCTTTTTAAGATAATCTTATGTATCTTTAATACGACAAGAATTTGTTTATTAAACTCACCTGAAGCAATCTTTTTAAGATCCTGAGGCCTCTTCTGAATTAACAAAGATTAAATTAAGTGGTGTGCAGTATAATTTTAGTATGCCTTATTATGTTCTAACTCTTTAAAAATACAAAGAAGGTACTTAATAGTAATGTATATTTTTTACTATTATTATTCCATGAACAGAAATGGTTTCTAGTTAGTATAAATCAAAAAGAGATTTACTCCAGAAAAGAAGCTGTTATTTTTCTAGGCTTTAGAGTCCTTTAAAGAAGTAAAATAACCTTAGAGAATACAAGAGTTTTAGTTAAAACTTGCTGGCATGGAATTAGACTACTTGCAGGCACAGCCAGCTAATCCTGCAGTCTTATTCACATGACTGAATCTTGTTGTCATAGCTTATACTCAAGCTGAGACTCACGTTATAGACATGGACTTTATCTTTAAGCAGTTCACAATCTAGATGAGGAAATAAGATATGTTACAGAATGTTCAAATTCTATTTATTTTTGTTGGAGAGGATTGTTTTTTGTACATTTATACTGAAGAATAAATGACATATATGGCTGTTTCAGTATTTCTTTAAAGATTGTGCTTTAAGTTTAAAATCAGTACTTGATTAAGAAATATTGATTTGAAAGACGTTAAGGTTGACTATAATGTAATTCAGTGTATACTGAAAAAATAACTCAAAACAAAAGTACGTCTTTTATTTTTTTATTGAGATACTTAAGAAAGTGAAACACTAAGTTTAGAATAATAATGAAAAAACACTTTATTTTTAACTTTTCAGTGTTTTTTTCAGGTAAATCAGAAGACTGAAGCACGGCATATACTCACCCTAGTCCATAAACACTTCTGTACTAGACTTTGTAAGTCTGACATTCCTCAAGCTTATATGTCATCTGACATAACTATTTAAAATGTCTCTCACTTTATTTTCTGGTAAGAATTGTTTATTTTCTGGTCAGGGTAGGTATAATGTGGAGCCTTTTTTCCAAATGGATTCGTTTGAATTTTTTGTTAAAAGAAAGAGTGACTATTCAACAAATCTTTATTGAGCTTACTTGCAAGATAGCTCACTGAATGCACTGGGGGATTCAAAGATATTTAAGCCTCAGTTCTTTTTCTCAAAAAGTTATAGATTATTAGGGAGAGTAGGACATGAATACAAATAGCTATAATGCAGAGTATCTGTGAAAAGCCAAAAGAGTGATCCAAATACAGCCCTATACATGTTCATGTGAGGGAGAGAGAATTTCTTCTCTTTTGTAATGACATGCATCTTTTCTTGCTTTAAAAATATCATCACTGAATATGAAGTCCAGATGTATTATTGCAATAGAATGCAAAATGGTTGACTAGGTCATTTTATTGTAAGATTTTATTATTTGAATAAACTGATTCTAAGCAGATTTTAATCCACGTGTTAAGCCATCTCAAATAATTAATTATATTCTTCCACAGATTGTTTTAGACAGTTTAAGTTGCACAAACTATATGATGTTGGAAAGACAGTTTGCTCGTTTATTTAGCAGATAGTTATTATGTGCCAGGCTTTGAAGTGGGAAATGAATTACTGCCCTTGAACAGCTTAAACCTATTGTGGGAAAGAAATAAGTCAAGTGATTATAGTGCAGTGGGCTTCAGTTTTTTTTCTTTTTTTAATATTTTATTGTACTTCAGGTGAAGGCTTGTAGAACAAATACTTTCTCATGAAACAGTAGTACACATGTGGTTTTATGACATTGATTAACAACCCCACAACATATTAACCCTCTAAATTCTCAACCTTTTTTTTTTTTGGTGAAAATTCACATAGCCAAAGATACACCGTTTCAAAAATTTCTACATACGCTGTTCAGTGACATTGACTACGCTCTTCCAATTGTGCTGCTATTCTCACTTAAGATGAAGGCTTACAGAACAAAATAGTTTCTCATTTAACAGTTACTACAAATGTTGCCCTATG